CCCCAAAACCCCAAAACCCCAAAACCCCATGCAACAAAAATATTTGATAATTCAGTCCTTGATTTGAAAATTATTAAATTAAGATTAAAAATAGTGATTATATCAATTTTACTTTTTCTGGTTCAATAGAGTTGATAGTACTTTATCAAACTCATCAATGCTTTTAGTTTGCTTTACAACTTTAAATTTCCCTTTCTTTAATTTATTCTAAACTCTTAGAACATCAGCAGCAGTTGTCATTGCATTATATGCTGTTTTATTTGTACTATGAGCGGCAGTCCTTTCATCATTAGCTTTTTAATTTTTAACTTTAGATGACTTTCTAGCTAGTTCTAAAGAACCTTTAACTTGATTAGTATGCTTTTTTAAATTATTAGCACTAAATTTAGAAACATCAGTAAATTTCTTGGCGCTATTTTATGATCTGAAAATACTATTAGCAGAACTCTTAGTACGATTGGATATAATAGCTTAATCATCAGCTATATTATTAATAGGTATTTTTCTCTCTTCAAATGTACTATAAGAATCATTTTAGAATTGCTATGCACTTTTCAAATTTAAGTTCTAAGTGAATTTCTTAGCAATTTCTTCCCAATCAATTTAAACTAACTTGGTATCAGAGATTTATTCCTTGAATTTTTTAAGATCATCATAGAATTTCTTTTGAACCTTATCTAGTTTCTTTTTCTTATCATCATCTTTTTCTTCTTTTTTATCTCCCTTTTCTTCTTCATTATCTGTTTTTCCTTTCTTCTTTCCATTTTCATCTTTGCCATCTTTTTTCTTCTTCTTACTACTTAGAGTCTCAAAAAATTTCTCAGATTGATCTACAACTTTATCAGAAATCTTCTTCAATAAAGGCTTCATCTAAACTTCGATTTGCTTAGATGTCCAATCTTTTAAATCAACTAAGAAATCATCCACATTTTTATTACAGTTAGCTAGAAATTCATCTTAATAAGTATTTTATTGGACTTAAATACTATTTTCATCGATATTTGGGAGGTTTTGATTGAATATCTTAGAGAATTTAGTTACTGCTGCTTCTAAAATTTTTCTCTGATTTGATTCATTAGCTAATCCCTATAGATTCTTTTTTGTATTTTTCTCCCAAATCTCAAGTTTGCTGTCTCCTTTAATTAGCAATTGACTATAGAAAGCTATCGCGACACTAGCTATATTGTCTAAGATTAGTTTACCAAATTCTCTAATAATATCGAGGAAATTATCGTTTTATGATTTGAACTTGATTAAAATTTCATTATTAGAAAATCGTGTTTTTCCAGAATTAAGATAGATTATAGTAAGTTTCTATTTAAGTTGTGCAGAGTACTTATCAAAGCATAAATCTTAAAGAGTTTTTAACTCTTCATCATGAATATTCTAAATTTTAATCCTAATATCCTTTAGATATTTCATTGCTGAGAGATCAGTAAATCCTCCCGTCAACAATTCTTTTTTGTTCTCATAATCCTCCTTTGCTTTATCTTTCTCATCTTTCTCCTTCTTATCCTTATCTTTATCCTTTTTTTCATCATAATATTTAATTGCTTTATCAAATTTCTTCTCTATTGGCTTTAGAGCTTGATCTTTTATGAATTCTTCAATCAAATCAGATACCCATTCGTCAACAACTTTTTGAGTTTTATTTTAGATTTGTTTAACTACTACTCCTTATTCTTTAATGAAGAACTGCTCGATTTTTTCATCATATATTTTCTTCTAGCTATCTTAAACAACAGCCACTTCATGATTCATATAGCCTTATTTTATTTGTTAAAATGATGTTTTTGTGTTTTTGATGATATTTGAGGATTTCTTAACATTTTTAGTAATCTTCTTTATCAATGAGCATGATTAAATAATCTAGGCAATAGATGCCAGAGCAGCAACCATTTTACCTGCAAAGCTTTAACCTCCTTACTAGAAATTCTCAACTATTTTCACTGCCAGATTCTTACCCTCTTTAAATAATTCAATAAATTTCTTAGATCTGCCCAAGAACTGAGTAAAACTAGATTTCATATTTTCAAAGCATTTGTCCAAAAACTCTTCTCTCTCATTATCTAAAACTTACTTTATACAATCACTTATAAAGTTCTTTAATGGAATCAGAAATTCATTAAGAATAGTCTCGATGATAATCATTCCCTTTGAAATCAAGAATGATGATACTTTCTAGATTATGTTTTCAATAAATGTTTGCAAAATCCCTAGAGTATCTGTAGTCCATTTAATAACCTTTTCTTTTATTTGCGGTAGGATTGCCTTTAAAGCTCCCTTCTTAACTGCTTTTATACCAGCACTTATTCCAACTTTCTTAATCACTTAGCCTCCTGCTGAGCCTGCAAACGATGAGCAGCCCATTGTGATTATTGCTAATGCAAGACTTATTGCTTTCTAAATACCATAATCCACCCATGAAAACTCCCCCTAATATATTGCTTGTAGACCATATGCAATATCAGAGAAACCTTCAGCTATTAGTGCGCTTCCTAAAGTTGCACCCACTCCTGTAGCTATCAACAAGAATCCTAAACCAATTTGAGCGATTCCTATCAAAACAACTAATGCAGCCTTCCATTTAAATGTCCAACCTTATTTGATTACAATTATTTTCTCTAATCCATAATCGATCATTTCTTCTATCTCTCTAGGCACTGGTTATTTTTAATCACTAAATTTAGATGCTAATTCAATGACCTCAATCTCAATAGAATCTCTAGCCTTATTAACTCCTATTTTAGCAAGTATATCTTTAGCAAAGCTCTTTTTGAAATCTTCCTTTTACTATTCTAACACTTATAATTTGCTGCTGAATCTCAAATTCGGCAAAATATATGCTTCCTCCTTTTTCTTCTTTTGCTCTTTAATAATAGGTTCTGAAGTAGTCTTTATAATATTCCAGAAATGATTAAGTATTCCATTTTTTTGAACTTATATATTTACATCAATCATGTCTATTAAATTGTAAACTTATTTCTTGATACTGCGTCTTCTTTCCTTACTGCTATTAGTGATTTTAAAGTTAAAACTCTTTTGCTTTAAGATATTCTTTGATATCATGAACATCTTTAGAGATAAAAATTGCTCTTCAACTGTTTTTTATATATTAATCTAGCCTTTTAACACTTCAATAGTTTCCTAGCCAGACTCTATTGAATGCTCAATATATTCAGAGATTATGTTGAAAACTCTTCTATCTAACTCTTTCATCATCTATTACTTATTGCTTTTGATAATGAGAGTTCCTTTTTCTTCAATTTAGATAAGTTTTTTTGCTATAAGTTCATCATAGTACTAGGAGAGAGAGTTTAGTTTGTTCTTGAATTCTACAATATCAAACTATAGACCAGAATTTTAAAGTAAGAATTCCATCATTTTTACCTTGTCATCTTCAGAGTAAAATTTCAATTGAATGAAATTATCAGGGTCAAACTCTGAAACTTGTAGATATTTCTTCATGTTTATTAGATAGCCTTTTTTAATTAGGATTGCAAATACCTCTTCCGAGCTTAAAAATACGTCCTTAAAATCACTTTACTGAAGGTATCGCTGCTTGAAATTAGGTTACCCAATTTTAGCTTTCAAAGCATTAATAATTTCTTTATCACAGTACTAAAGATTAAATGGAATTTCGATGATATCGTCATTTAGTATAAACATACATGGTGCATCTTATACTTTAACTTTTTTAGAAATTCTCTCAAGTTTAAATATGTCAGTTTCCTTTTCGAAGTATTCATTAATGTTAGAGAGCATAAGCTTATCATCGTAACATTGAAATAATTCTCTCAAGACATCTTAAGATGGCAGTTATCCTACTGACTGCTTGATTGATTCGATATGGAAGTTGTAAAGTCCAATAATCTCTTATATTTGCAATTCAAAAAGATTCTCATATTGTACATCTTTTTATTTCTTTTTATAGTTTTTATCAACTACCTTTGCGATTTATATAATTGCCAGTAATTCATTTACCTTGTCTTACATTAGATTTTAACTGCGCTTAAGAATCACATTTATTTATATTCTTCTTTCCAGCTCTTTCTATTAACCATCAATAATGCGGTTATATATAGCTTTAACATCAAAGAATTCAAAAAATTTCATACTATCTTATTCCACTCTCAGTATTTTTGCTTTTCTATAATAAGCAGCATCACAAAAATAAGGTTCATTTTTAATTGCTTTGTTAAAGGCTTTCAGTGCAAGTTTAATTAGTTTATTTTATTCAAAGAATATTCCAATTTTTACCAGTTCACAGTAAGATATAGCAAATTTCAGACCATCTTGATCTCTTACATTAATGAGGCACTCGTTTTTAAATCTTTCAAAATGGATAAATACTATTTTCCTACCTTTTTTATAGACTTCCTTCAAGTCATCAGTGATGCTTTCTAAAAAGAAAGCCCATCTATTCTTAAGAAATCCAAGCTGCATTTCTAGGTATTCTGAATAATTCTGATTCTGCATAATCTATTAGAAGTTAATATCATTCCTTAGAATGTACGAAAGTTTCAAGTATAACTCAGTAAACTTTTAGAATAGTATGCCTTCTAATTCTAGTCTGGAAATCGTCTTTTTCTTTAACTCCGCTAATCGATAACTTTCTAGCCTGTCTCTTTCTAGTTTAATCTCATTCATAGATAAACTAGAATTAGAGAATTGAATGCAGAACTATCCACTACCTGTTTAGCCCTTTCTTGCGGTTCTACCAAAAGCTTGCTCTTCAATTCTAATGTTACTTGTCAAAAAAGTAACTACCACATGCAACCCTCCTTTCTTACTAACTTATTCACTTATCTTTAGGTCAGTTCCTCTGCCGGCAATATTAGTGGCAACAATAACTTCTCGACCAACAAGCTCATCTACAGATCCTTTATCAAGAGTCTCATCAGCTAATGTTCTCTTATAAACTTATGAGTGAAATTCAGATATAAATTGCTCTATAAGAAGTACTGAACTAACATTTTCGCAGATAAATAGAATAGGTCTGTTATTTATGACTGCAATATCTTTAACAATCATCTTGATCATGTTTAGCTACGCTGAAAGTGATGGGACAGTAATAGGCTCATATTAAACAAAGCACGAAGTTGTGAATCTAGGCAAATTAAAAAACTCCAAAGAGTAAAGACTGTTTAGTAGCTTCCTTTCTACTTAAGACCCAAGAGTACCAGTGAGACCATATATCTTGCCTTTATATTTTTAGAAATACTTTAAATTTGAAACAAAAACAGCTCTAAAGCTCTCAGGAGTCAATCTATCTTAATGTTTCAGCTGCAAGAATTAATGCAGTCCATTACTCCATTAAGTTGACTTTTGCTCAACACCTGTTTCTTTATCCATGACAACTACTCTTCCATTATCTTTTCTCATATTTAAGATATATGGATCATTTTAGTTCATTTCCTTTGCTGTGTAAGCATTGCTAACATACTCTGGAAGCTTTCTTAAGACAAGACTTTTCAAAATGTTAGGGATTTTTATATTGTTGGAGTGAATTCTTTACTTTAGACTTTCAGTAACTACCTTGATATCATCCTAAGTTCCTTTTGTATTTCCTTTCGCATGAGTAGATGCCCATATTTGGACATATAAATTCTTAAGACTTGATAATTCAGCTATCTTATGTGATAAATACAAAGTGCTTTCGCCTTTGTCTAGTAATGAGCTATCGATTTCATCTATGATTAAGCAGCCTGTTGTTCTACCTCCTCGGACACTTTTCCCAATAAAAACAGAATCTAACAAATAATCTCTTTGAAAGGATCCGATGTCACCAAAAACTATATCAGCCTAATATTTCTTCTATCTAGATTCTTCGTCCTCATTTGCTTTTTCATCACAATTAACACCAGATTTCAGACCAAATTGCAAATAGATATTTCGGGTTTCGTTAAAATCTCTCACTGCTAGATCACTAGAGCTACTCATAATGTCAACTTTCATACCTCTTATAGCTTGAATTATAGACCATAGAGTAATTATTAATGTTTTGCCTTCACCAGTATACACTTCACCCACTTGTCCCAAGTCATAGTAGAAGAATATACAGCATGCAATCTAAGTATGTCTCGCAATGTTATTGGTAGCTTTCTATATTCCTCTAATCGCAACAGCGAAAATCTCACTTGCATTTTCTTAGTTCCACTTATCTCTAAATAAATCCCTAGTTTTTTCAGATTTCACCCAATCCATGATATCCTATCTTTCCCATTTCGATATCGGTTTTGAAGATTCTAACACTTTTGATTCTTCTCTGAAAGCTTTGAAAATTTAAAGAATAAGCGAAGTAAGCTTTGGATCATCTTGGCTATTAGTCTTTTCTACGAATTCTCTAACACCCTAATTAAAATCATTCATCATTATCTGCTCGCACAAATTATTACAGTCATATCTCAATTTTTCATCAGAACTTAAAGTTTTTTGCAAACTTTCCTCTATATCTTACTTATCTTTTGCTTGATCTACAAGAATCTATACCCATTCATTCATAATCTTGTCTTAAGTTAAAGCTTATAGACTATCTTAGCCTAAAACAATTTAGCGATTGTTGATTTTTTAAACTAAAATTAGTAAGTCTTGAGGATCATATAGCTTTTATAATTTCACAGCAGCAATAAGTTGATTCAATTTACCTTCTCCATAGGTTTAACTGAATGTAAATAGGCCTGCAATTATTTTTTAATGGAGAGGCTCCTTATCAGAATAGTTTAGATCTCCTTTTATCAATATTTTCTAAATCTAAATTTGGATATCGTTTATTTAACCTCCTTTAAGTTAATATACAACTGAATCTGTAAGAAGTTGTTTTTTCTATAACTAGGCAAGCTTTGAAACAACATCTAATAGAGAGTCATTTGACAAAAATAAACTTTCACTTTCTGAGCCAATTTCCTCATCTAAGATACTTTTAATGGTTTCAAGTATGCCTATAGATGCTTAAATTTGCCTTAAACCCTTTATTATTTTGTTTTTGAATTGAAGTTTAATTTTAGAAGAAATTCCATTCTATTTGAAAATGAATTCGTCTAAAGCTCTCTCGCAAGAATAAATAAGTATCTTTTGATGCCATAATTTGGGTCTATACTGTTTCATGATCATTATAATATCCTCAATGTTATCTCTCTTATCAATTAAGAGTATAAACTATTGCAAACTTTCCACACTTATTTAAAAAAACTCATCTTCTTAGTATAAACTTATCCTCTCTGAAATGATCTTGATAACTTCATTAAATTAGGATATTTATTGTTATTTAAGATTTAATCTTTGTTGAGTCAGAACTCCTAACAGTCCTTTGACTTTTTTCATTCTTTGACTTAAGTACTCTTCCTGGCCTTTCACATTATCTTACATTGGTTCTAGATTTTCAATCCAATTCAAACATACTTGATAAGCTGTCATCATAAATACCTCCTCAGTCCAGTCTTAATACCTCTTCTCAGTTATTATTCTCCAGAGTCTTTTGATATAAGTTACACTGCTTTCATTCAAAGAAATAAGAATGTCAACCAGCAATTGATTTTCTTTTGATTAAAGCTTTTTAATGAATTCAAGCTATTATTCTTATGTATTCTCCTTTATAGCTGCTTTCATTTATTTTAATACAAAGTTAGATTCATCATCCTCGTCTATTTTCTGGCAATAAAATTGAATCAATGCCTTTACTAGTAAAGCTCGATATTCTTGATTCATTTCTAAGATACGGTCAGTTTAAGATAAAAATTAATGGAGAGCTTCATTAGTCTTGCCTTCTAGTTTTAGAGTTATTCTAATTTTCCTTATTAATTCTTAAAAATCTTTGCTTATTATTTGATTAATGGTATTTTAATTCGCATTACTGCTAAGTAATAAGTGTATATCATTATTTTTGATATTTTTGAAGGAATTCACCAGCTATATCATAAGAATAGATTCGTCATCCTAATTCTCATCGTCATTGACAAGCTATACGAATTTTTGGAATGCTATTTGCCTTTATGATTCACCTATAAATAATAGAAAGTCAAAAATATCATTCAGCTGTTCATTGATATAAGGCGATAGAGCTTAGTTTTCATTAGATGATAGGTGCAGCATAAAATATTGCTTAACTTCTTAAACATTATTGTAGTCAAGATCTTAAAATCTATTTACTGCTTTCTTCGGATTGAGAAGGTCAAAATTCTAAATTTAAGCAATGTTTATTCTAAGACTATCATTTACTATGAATTACTAAGAATGGATTAATTCTTCAAACTGTATGGTTACTCTAGTTGAGTATTTTTAATCTTAAGAGTAAATTTATTGATATTTTGTTTCAATTTAAGAGTCATACTAGAAGTATTTATCTATTATCTCTTTAGGGGAAATTAATTCCCTTTCATATTATAAAAGTAAGCTACTCTTTTCTAGCTTTATATGATTTAGTATCTCATCATTAATATCCTTTATTATTTTCTCTTTTGTATTATAATAAAATGAGTCTAATTTTAATTTTAAGCTTTTAAGATAGATGATTTGTTCTATTGATAATGGTGCCAGTTATAGGGTTCTAAGCATCTAGTACAACTTAAAATATTGATTATTTACATACTCTTATTATTAAGCTCCTGTTAATTTTGCTAAGTCCTCAAGATCCTAAATAACTTTCTCTGTAACTTTAGAATTTGCATAGTATCCATCACTTAAAAAGGCCTCAACAAAGCTCAAGGATTTTCGCTAGATTATATCATGAATCCCCTAAATTTTGCTGTCCTTGTTTTTTTCATCTATCTCATTTTAATTCTACTATATCTAGCTCTACACTAGTTTTAATTAGCTATCTACTTTATGCAAAATGCCTTGCTTGAAGGCACCAACCATTAAAATTGAAAGATTCTTATTAGCTCTATCAATTTAAGAGGTTCTATCATAATCATCGCATTCAGGTAGTTTAGCAATTATCTCTAGAATATCATTTATTCTCTATTTGCAAGAAGTAATCTATCTGCTATAATCCACACTTTTAGTGAAAAGATCGTATTTCTTACTTTAAATAAGACTCTGCTTAAGTTTTTATAAGAGAAACTCTAGAATATTTTATTTTTATTTTTCTTGAGATTTCAAACCATAGATTAATTTTTAACAATCTTCAATCTTCTTGATAATTTGCTCTTCAGGTACTTTATTTAAAGAGTAAGTTAACATACAAATTGCAAGTATTTGTTTCAGATATTATTAGTCATGATATAAATCTTCATCATTTAGTTCTGAAATTTTTAGAAATTCTAATAATTTTTATAGCAATTTATTAGCTACATTTAAGCTATCGTTCTTATCAAAATTTTCACTCTTCTAAATCTCATTGAATTATTATGATATACTTATTAATTCAAGTTTCAATTAAGAACTTTGATTTGATTTCTTCTGTGATTCTTTGTTTATTAGTTCTGTTTTCACTATTGAAATTACTCTAAGCTTTTACTAATATTTTTCTAGCAGATATTTATTTAACGTTCCTTTAATTCTAATATCATCTAGCAGAGAATTTAAAAACTCTTAAATACCCTATGGATCATACATATATTCTGCATATTATTTTAAAACTTAAAGTGTTTATATTAGATTATACTTTAATGATGCTTCAATTTCAATAAAATCATCTTCAAATTCCTATAATACTTCTTTAACCTTATTCTCAAAGTCATCCATCACTCTCTCTTTAAAAATCTAATTAGACTCTGTCCATAATTCAAGCAAATTTTATGAATCTTAGACTGTCCTTTGATTTTTATTCAATATCACCTCTTTCACTAAAGTGCAGATTTTTGTAATATCAATATCCATTACTTTTATCATGAAAATAATGCTTTAAGGATTTTTTTCAATAGCCTATTTGATAAAATCAACATAAGTGTGTTTTTATTTTTAGAACATCTCGGACATTTTATTCATGGCGATCTCTACTTCAAACATTTTGCAGATGCTCATAAAATGAGACATTTCTGTATCATAATCTTTTGTATAAACTTTATAGCACTCATGTAGTATATCTGATAATTTACTTTTACAATCTAAATTGGTATAATTTTCATAAATTGTTTTAACAAGTTTCTTAAAATCTGATTTGACATGCTTTGATTTATTTTCTAATTTGGTATCCTTTTTTATCTTACTTTCTAATTTTTCAAAATAAATCTTTGATGCATAGTATCCTTCTATTTATTAAATCATATTCTTGATTAATATTTGGGATCCTTTAAAATTCTTCCTCTAAGGAGCATTAAATGACTGATAAAATTTATCAATGATATCCTTAGCTTAATCATTTAAGCATTTTTAAATTAAATAATTCGGTAAATTGATGTTTTAGGAGTGTTTAAGTCCAAATGCTTTTTCAAAAATTATAAAATCTTCTTATGAAGATTAGTTTAGCTAAACCCAAGTATTAAAAATCTTGAGGATAAAATTTTAAAGAATTTTTTCATAGTATAAAGTTTTTTTTCTTTGGGATATCGTGATTAGTGAATTCCTTAGAAATTCGTTATCTCTCATTTTTTCTCTGCTAAAAGACTCATCATAAAATTTCTCCAGTAATACCTCTAATAAATCTTTAGTCTCTTATAATTAATCAGAAAACAACTTTACAATTTGCTCTCTAAATCTCTAATTGCTCATCTAAATAATGTCTAAAGTTGATTAATTCATAGTGACAACATTATCACTCTGATTATCAGCTTTTTACTTTCTCATTCTCCTACAAATAACTATCAAGTTTTAATATATGATGCTCCATCTTTATCTTGATTGTATTTTGATAATTTCTTCACCATTTTTTTTCTTAATGTTTTCAATAATCTCTTTGACTTTCATTTCACTTGTTATATCAGCTGTGGATTAAAAAAGAATATCCTTAATCCTGTTAAAATATATCTATTTTGTCAAAGAGTCTAAACTAGAAGTTTCTATACAATAGAGGGCTTGCATCGCTGATTTATATATTTCATTAGTAATTGAAGTCTGAATTTCTAATTAAATTAGTACCTCATTTAATCTATTGTTGGCAATTACCCATTTTTGCCATTTTTGTTCAATAATGAGATTGATAGTTTCAACTTGAATTTTAATTGGATAGAATAGACCTAGATTCGATTTAATTGTTTTATCAACTTTATTAAACTTGCTCCTAATCAAGTATAATTCCTCCATATTAAAATATACTAGGGCAATATTTTATTAAACAGTCAGCAAAAAGGTTTACCCGTTAATTCCTAGCAAGTGAGGTAGATAATATGAATGAGTATTAGCATCGTCTAATAAATTAGAGAAAAGATTTATTATGTCTAAGAAGTATTCAGTCCTCTTGTAAAAGTTAAAGTAATTCATACTCATGTCAAGTGGATAATCCTTATAATTTATTGATCTCTTGAAGTAATGATTATAAAGTGTGCATTGAGCAATCTAGAATTGCTTTATCTCTTTTTGCTATTTCTAATCATTTGAACTTTTAGACTATTTGAGGAGCATTATCATTTTTTCAATCTCAGTAATTATATTAATGAATGAGTTCTTTTATATGCCTTAATCATTTGAAAAGAATTTATCGAGAACTCCTGCAGTAAAATGTAGTACCTTTGATAGAGGGGTATTGGGTTAATTGTCCTTTTTTGATATTGAAATTTCTAGTATATTGATAGCTTCTTCAGTGTCCATCAATTATATTTTATTCATGAGCTATTCATATATCTTGTCTGCATTCTTTTTGCACATTGATAAATACTCAGGTTCAATATGTTCTTTATAGATCAGTTAGTCAAGCATTTCTTATTCTATTAATACTTTTGAAGGATATTATTGCAGGCTCACTGCAATTTTAGTTATTTGAGAGCTTAACGAGGTCAAAGTTTATCTTAAACCATGAGATTGAATATTTTGGAGACTCTCTTCGATTGATTTAATCTAATTGTGAAACTATTCCTATTGTTTAATCTTCTTCATCACAAGAATAAAGGAGTCAATGATCTCTAGGAATTATTCAATCAAGTTTGTTTAAGAAGATTCATTTCTCTTAAGATTTTTCAAGTACTAAATTAAATTTTCTTTGTCAATATTTATATAAACTTCAAGATCTGGAAGCTATATCTGAGTATGGCCAATTTCCCAATCCAAGGATTCTTGAGGCTAATCATTATTTTTCAATTTGCTTTTATCAAATATTGCCTCATTAGTTATTGATTGTTGAACTTATTGAGAGGTCAGGTTAATCTGTTAAAGTTTTTAATCATTTTAAATGAGTTATTTATTTAATTACTCTGTTTTTTCTGCAATTTCCTTCTAATTTTTTTGAATTTAAGAAATTTCTTATTTCTTTTTTACAAGCAAAGATTCATTTTCCTATAGTTTCTTAGCATCATTTTATATTTGGATTTATGACATTTACTATTTCTAAGAGAGCTGTTACTTTATTTCTTAATTGGCATTGTGCATTTATATCTGCTAAGAAATATTCTATTGCTATTACTATAATTCTTATTAAGATGTTGCTAAAAGTTGGTTTGAAGTTTTGGCAGTAGTTAAGGACTACATTTAATGTTAAAAGAGTGAATCTAGAAGTGCTTAATTAATGCTCTATTTTTAAATTGCCTTTTACATCTTGCTTTATTATTATGAGGCTGTTGCTCCTCTCATATCTTTTTTACTTCCATTTTGATCTTTTGAGTAGTCATTTTTTCCAAACTTAGCGTAAGTAGGTTTGTCTTTTATTACCTCACATTCATAATCGTAAATTAGCCAGCCTTAACGTTTGTTGAGTTTTAGTAATCCTTCAGTATGCTATTTAGATGCTCCCCATTTATGAAATTCAAAACAATCAACCCCATTTAAACCATCTTGCCCTGGCTTGCCACCATTTCCCTCTGTTCCATCTTTCCCTTTAACACCTCTTTTTGACAAAGTATTCATTTCTACATCAATATTTTTTATAGTGACAGAGATTTATCCAGGATATCCTCCTTCCCCACCAACTCCTGCGTTTCCTCCAAGTCCAGCATCAGAGCCGATTCCTCTTCCTATGCCACGCCAAATCTTATAATCATTGTATATTGAGCACTAATAGTAAATATCTGGTGTTGGGGGTTTATCTTTTTTGCTTTTATCAATTCCATCTTCTCCATTTTTACCAATAATTCCATCATATCCATCAAGACCATTTGTCCCGTCTTGTCCATTACTTCCATTTGCTATAAGTTTTAGACATTCCTTTCTCTATATTTCTAACTAAGCCCTTATAGTGATATGTCCAGCACTTTCTCCAGCTAATCCATGCTTTCCAGGGATTGGATTTCTTTTAATTGAATTCCCATTATTTAATAATTTATCCTAGACAAGTTTGGGATGATCTATTGGAGAAGTATTTATTTTGCACTCTGAATTCCTTATCAAAATGACATTTGCTTCAATGGCAACATTAGTTTTGGGTACAATAAGATCTACATCTATTATAAGTTATTCAGCTGCTACAATAAATATTTCTGAAGCACTTTAAAGATGCTATTCATACTGATTCCTGACAGAACTCATTGAGAAAGAAATTCCTGATATCTGAAGAACCCCATTTGAGAATTCAACTCGAGGTTTCGCAAATAGTACCTTCCACTTTTATTTTATTTCGTTTATTTATTACTGGTTTTAAGTATTTATAGCTATAAATTTATTGAATGAAGTCAAATCATCAACTTCGACAGAAGGGATTTGTCCCCAAATCTTATCCATATATGTGTGATCATTCACTTTCTAAGTTTTAAGCTAAAAAATTATCTACTCAAGTGTTTAGGAACTATTGAAAATATTCAAATCAACTTATTCAAAGTCATTCTTCAGTCCCTTATAGATGGAATTAAAAAATTTGGAATACAAGATCTCTTAGTATTTTAATTCGAAGTCCTCCTTTTGCTTCAAAAGATTCTATTTTTTAATATCAATCTCTTTTTACTTATCAGCTGAGTAAGAGTTCTCAAGCTCTTTCGCTAATTATTCAATTTATAAAGTTTGAATTTGCAAGTTTTACCTTTGATCCCTTATCTACATTTCTAAAAGTCTCTATTCCTACTCAAACTTTCTTTCATTAAGTTATAGACTGAGTAGCTAATTGTATGCTTTGTAGTTATTATCTCTTATTATCTGCATGTTTACCTCCTGTATGCTAGTCTTTATCTCATTCCTTATTTTGAATATGAATTCTTTCTCAATAGAGAATTTCACACCCTTTAATTGCCTTATTAGAGTATCCATCATATATGTATGCTTATGCACAATTGCAAGTTTTGGATTAGAATCAGACAATTATAAGTCTTATACTCTATTAGAAATAATTAACCAAAGGTCATCAACTGATTTTTGGTTTTAAAGCGAGTCTGTGAGTGAGCTAACGAACTATTAGTATTAATTATCTGTTGACTAATCATATAAGTGATTCATGAGAAACATAAGGACTTTATAAATTGAATTTTCTCTCTCAACAATTTCAAGTAGATAATCATAAATTTCAGCTGGGCTTGTGTATATTCTATCCATCTTAACTAAAGTCGTCTGATAACTTCCCAAATCATCTTAGTAAAAAACTGGCCAGAATAAAATTTATCCTTCAATTTTGATAGAATTTTCAGCCTTAGACCCATCAACAAGTTAGACTCCATATTTCTGATTAAGATATTTAATTATATCTTGTTTGTCTAATATAGAGTTTTTCTATAGTAACTTTTTACTGATACTCTCTAATTCTTCGTCATAATTATCTGAGTCTTCTTGCTTAATCCAAGAAAGTTTAAAGTTCAGCTTAATATACTGCATGAGCATGCATAAATAATCAGTATTATTAGATTCATTACTTCCCTCTAACTTGAGTTTCCCAGTAATTGTCTTGCAATATAGCTGATTTTCATAGTAGAAGTAGGTCATGCTGTCTATTTTGTTGATGTCATCCTTATCCTACTTCTTAGATTCATATCTGTTCCATTCAGATAAGTATGATTTGTAAACAGCAGAATTCAACTCACTGTTCAATGTTTCATAGATTTCATATTATTACTCTAACAATTCCTTTTTTATATGATCCATACATTTAAGGAGTGAAATTTTAAACTATTCTAACTTATCTTGTCTGATTATAAATGTAGATTGAGTTATCAAATACTCATTTAGATTCTGATGAGGGCTAATCATTACTTTTTGCATTAAATCCTTATTTTTCTTTAAGAATTTTTCTAGTTTGGCAAGTACTTAATTTTGATCATCTCTTACTTCAAGCCTTGATTATTTGAAATTCTCAGATATTTGCACAAATTTCCTCTGTTATTTTTCATCTAATAGTAAATAAAATTCCAGAAGTTTCTGGTCCAATATTATGATGGTTTGATGATCAATCATAAACTAATCGATTGGTTTTTCAAGAGATTCAGCTAATTTTAGGTGGGATTGCCTTATTTTAAGAATTTAAGGCACGTTTGTGCAATACTCTTGTTTTTATTTTTAGATGATGTTCAGACCTATCTGAGTAACTTCTACTCCAGAGTGTTGCTCATCCAAAGATAAAGTAGACTTGATAAAATCAATAGAGTATTTAGAATCATCAAGTTAAAGGTTTATTTGGAAGAATCTTTAAACATCTGAAATGAAGGAGTTTTATATAAGATCTTAATTTTTGTGATAAATAGTAGCTTTACTTTTGGATATTCTCTTGGCGTCAATTTATAATTAGGCTAAGAATATTGGATTTTCCCCTTATTAAACTACCATTAAGACTGAAATCTGCTCCTTATTTAAGGAGAGAATCTCATCTTTAAGGAATTAGAACACTTACTCCTTATTATTTTAGCTGAACAAAGTAAAAATGTACTTCTCTTTAGTATTTTAAGGGTTAATAGCAGTGAATAAATTGTTTATCTAATCACTGTTACAGGTCCATCCTAATCTTTATGTCAAACCATGCCATAATTCTAGAATGTTCTAAATCCTATATTTGAACATAAAATTCAATGGTTATAAGTCCCTAGAGATGGGCTAACTTTTTAGAGATATAAATGCTTTGAATAATTATGTAAATGAAACTTTGAAAGTTTCCTCTGTTGTGACTATTTCTTTAGAAAATTTATCAGTTTCTGATTTATACTTTTATCTGATGATACTGTAATGCCGTTCTTAAAGGTCATCATGACATAACTGCCAGTAGGTAGCTATTTCAGATTTCTTGTTCTAAGGGGAATAAGTCATGCTGAGGAAGAATATAAGGTTTTCCTTTTCCACTATTGGATTTAATATAATCATGTGATGACCAGTAAATTTTCGAAGTTCATGAAACTTATTTTACTCATTGATAGCTGATTTACTTTTATTTAAGGCATCATCTAGAAATTATTGCTGACCTAGTAGTACAGCATTCATATTCTCTTCGTGAAGATATATTTCGTAGTTTAGTTACTCTTTTTATCTCTTGTAGCCGAGTTCAACTAGAGTATCAACTAAAAGTTTTTGGTATCTAGAAAGTAACATAGTTATTGGATATTGTTTTCAATATTTTAATTTATTTACAGGATAAGCATATTTTCGAATTTCTAAATCTAGAATAATATTAATGCCTTTTATCGCACTTCTAATCATCATGGGGTTTTGGGGTTTTGGGGTTTTGGGGTTTTGGGG